CATTGAAAAAATCTTCAACTTGTTCGCTGATTTTTTACAGAAAATGTTTAAAGATCCTTATATAGTTTGTCAATAGAATGTACTTCTATTTTAAAATTCGATTCCATTAAATTATTTCGACATCATCTATTCCGTTTCGCCACCACATAATTCGGTACTGCACTTCCATGTAACTCGACATCAATTTCATTTCTCAAGAAATCAAGTCAATTAAATAAATTGGTATTAATATTTGAATTCAAAAAAAAAAATAAAAAAATAAAAAAAACACTACAAATGTACATTAGAAAAAAGTAAGTCAAAATGGAAAAACATTATGCAAAATAAAACATTACTATTGTACATTTCAAAAGTCAAAATGAAAATGTTAATATAACACATTTTTACGCGATTTTTTTGGATATTATCCTTTTCGGAGAGGAGACAATTCCGAATTTGTATGAATCGTTAAAATTAGTCCAGCGGTTCTTAAGTTATAAGCGTAGTAACTAACACAACTTTCTTTTATATATATAGATTGGTTCCAATATTGCACATCAGTTTTGACCTGTTTCTCAATATCCCTTTAGAGATTTTTCCTTATTTTCTGCTTAACGAAAATAATATTCCATGCAGCTCAGCTAAAATACAAACAAAGTTTTTTCTCCTGACTAATTCAGCGAAAATGGCCTTAGTTAAATTTTCAAAATAATTTTAAATTTTTAATACCTTTACAAAAAATAATATAAAATTTTAATTTAACTTCAACATTCATAAAACTTTAACTCCAACTTATCTTTCGCAAGCTCTGCAAAAATTTGTTGTAATAAAAATTACTAAATTTAAAACATGACATTGTCTCTACGCCGGAGGTATTTGCATAATCTTTTTAACTCGAACAAATCTTCGGCGAAGACATATACCATAAACTATGACAGCGAAAATAAATTCATCAAAACTCTTGGCAAAAATTAGCATTCGACAAAGTTTTAATGTAAATAGCCGTATTGACACAACACGCGTATTGTTGAGCCATGTTCGTGTGTATGTTTGTCACAAGCGAAATGACAATGAACTGCGAAAAGGCGGAGCAAATTAGTTTTTATTTGATTCAGTTTGTAAACAAAATCTGGGTGGACACAAGAGGGATGATGAACAGTATTTAATGGGGGAGAGGAAAGTGGTAATTTTTACAATTATGGGCAGAGATAGGTTACAAGGTAGTTAAGTTGAAGTGCCGGCTGGTCGGTGATTTATTTTAAGAGCATGGCTCTTTATTTAACAAATCAAGCTAATGGTATTTTATTTATACCAAATAAATAACGAAAAGGAATTCTACGGAAAAACATTACTTGACGATGATTGATTCTACCAAATTAAATTGAATCTTTAAGGGAATTCGTGAAAAACAAAATTATTCAAAAAATTCAATCATTCAAAAATAGAAATGAGTTTTCTTCAGTTGTATTATTTATGTTGCTGTTTACTTTTAATAAGAGAACAAAAGTTTTGTTTATTTAGTGCGTATGATGAATGTAGAAAAATATTTTATAACGTATACGCCACATATTTCGGAATCAAAATTGCATATCAAATACGTGGTTTCACATTTAACAGTGGTTTTTATTAAATTTCAACTCTAGACGTAATCAAATTGCATCAGTTGTGGGGAATTTTCTCATGCTGTGAGTGTATAAAATGATGTATGTGACGAATGTCATAAGAATTGTTATATACTTTATTCCAATTGTGTGTAGCACCTAGAGTTAGTCGGCCCAGCCCGACATTGACCTTTTTTCACTGTTTTTTTTTTTTTTTTTTGTGAAAGAGTGTAAGTTGAAATCAGGTAACATTTTGTACCACAGGATATTATATCTTTGAAGAATTTGTTTGTAACATGCAGAGGGAAACTCAATAAATTCATAGTTCCTTTTGGTGACTTCCTTGGCCATCGACAGGTCATATTTATGGCTGATGGAGATTTTGCACAAATCACACGTTTGGTTCAAGAAAGAAACGAATTGATGATAATCGGACTAAATTTAGATTAAGCACTTAATAAATCTTTGTCTATTTTCAATTGGATTGCGCACAAAATGCTAAATATTAGCCCAAAATATATAGGCGTTGGAACTGCGACCGAATTTAGCCTAATTTATTTGTTTGTGGAATTTAGTAATAATTTATTCCGATATAGCTGTAACTAATATCTATGCTTTAGCCGTAGCTCTAACAAGTAAGCAATGGCTATAGTCGTACGGGCCTACCGTGTGATACCTAACAACACTACAATATGTTAGAAGCCGTCCAAACATACTTTGGAAGATTTCGATTTTAAAATTATCTTATAGAGCAATGCCCAGATATTACCCTAAGCTTTTGGAACAGAGACATTAGCCCAATATTTACGCACTCCGTCGTGCTGAAAGTAGTTGTGGTTCATTTCGCAGTTAAATTTAATTCAATGGTCATCCAAAATTCTACACTTCTTCCCTGTCCTCAAATCTCTTCTCATGCAAAATTTCGAGACGATTGGTTTCAAATATTGGTATTTTTCACACAAAAGTAGTGGTCAATTCTACCCGCTGTCCTAAACTGTAACTTCATGCGAGATTTCGTGTCCTTTGGTTTCTATTTGTGACCCTTATAACGACTGCAAAATCAGGAACATTTTTAGTTGTTGGTCCATTTCATCCCCTAAATATATTGCAGAGTCTAACCCTTCCGTTATGAAAATGTTCGTGAGGAACGGACGATAATGCCAATCTGTATATAATAACCCCAACTTGTGTTGTAAGGTGAAAAAAAATGTACACTATGTCAAATTGAAAAAAATTGCATGCGATAAAAAATATGAAAAAAATATATCACAAATTCTATATTCACATTATTGGCATCATTATTGGCATCTTTTTATGCGATTTTCTTAGATTTTTATTCTTATGCCAAGAGGGCATTCTGAATTGACAAAGTCTGTCGAAATCGGTTCAGCCATTCTTGAGATATAAGCATTCTAGCTAACATCCTCTTCCTTTGTATGTACACACTATATATGTAACGCCAGATATACCCGATATATTTACTATCGGCATCTACCTAAGGGTCAGAATTGACCTATTCGTCTATTTGTAATTTAGCCGGGATTAAAAATTTTTCTCGGTTAAATGGAAAATTTAACTTTTATTTAACAAAAATGTATTTGTATTTTATTTAACAAAAATGTAATGTACTATTTCACCCAATAAATATTATACGATGACCATCAAAATTGGAAGGCTTCTGCTCAGACCTAAGTTCTAGCCCCATGCTAATTTAGGGACATTATTCACCGGAATTGTTACAAATTTGGTATTTGAAGTTCCTAATAGATACTACAGCCTTTGACAGATAATTGTCTTTTCAGGTCCACGTCTTCGTATAGCCCCCATATAACGGTACCTACCGATATTCGGTATTTGGATGATTTTAGCAACATTATTTACCGGAACTATTTCAGATTTGACATTTGAAGTTCGTAATGGACACTACAGCCTAAGACAGAAAATTGTCTGTGCAGGTCCACCTCTTCGTAGAGCCCTCCATATAACGGTACCTCCCACATTCGGTATCAGCGACATTATTCACCGAAGTTTTTTCACGTTTTGCATTTGAATATTATTATTATTATTATTATTATTATTATTATTATTATTATTATTATTATTATTATTATTATTATTATTATTATTATTATTATTATTATTATTATTATTATTATTATTATTATTATTATTATAATTATAATTATAATTATTATTATTATTATTATTATTATTATTATTATTATTATTATTATTATTATTATTATTATTATTATTATTATTATTATTATTATTATTATTATTATTATTATTATTATTATTATTATTATTATTATTATTATTATTATTATTATTATTATTATTATTATTATTATTATTTTTGTTTTTTTTTTATTTATTTATTTATTTTCTTTTTTTTTTTTTTTCTTTTTTGGAGAATTGACAAATTTGTTTGAAATGATGGAGGGTATTCCATGTTCGGCCCAGCCGAACTTACAGCTTTTTTACTTGTTTTTACTTTCAAAAGCATTTAAATATCCAGTAGATTTTTCTATTAAATATATATAAATATATGGTTCTTCAATTCTTAAAATAATCCGTCATTTCCCGCAAAGATTAAATGGAAATCAGATAAAATAAAACCCCCTCTATAAATAAGGGGTTTTAAACTAAAAAGTTTTTTAATTAGTTATTTATTTCGACTCTAAAATCTATAAAAATGATTCAGCAAAGGAGCAAACTATCCTCGCAACCAAACCAAGCTCGTCCCAAAAAAAAAATAATTTTGACTTGTTTTTCATTGTTTTTGCTATCCTTCGTAAATAGCAGAGTAAACATTTACGCCTGTAACAAGAATGTCCTTTTTTATTAGAAAACTTCAAAAGAAAGCACACAAAAATCGATCTCAATAACGAACAACCGAGGCGAGCAACAACAACAAAAAAAATGTGAATATATTTTATCCCTCCAATCGATGTTCATGCATAAATTATGAACTATTTTTGTTGTCGTTTTTTTCCTGTTTTTCCTCTTCTTCTTCTCCTTTTTCTATACCAAAAAAACTTTTGATTAAAAATTCTTAGCAGCATATGTGTGGAGCAGGGGGATGGGGTGGTCGGTTGGTTGGTCGGTGAAGGATGCTCCTGAAAAACAACCTGTTTCTTTAGTTTTGCTATCACCAGCAGCAGTTCACATTACAATGTGAAGAAAACGACACCCTCTCCTATAATTAATTCAGTTGAATATTTAGAGGAGGAATGGGAAGGCACACACACCGAAGGCAAATAGAGGAGACAAATATTAAGAAGAAGAACAAAAATGTCATATAAAAAAGAGATAAGCTGTCACTCAACCATAGATGTAGACGCTTACAAAACTTTATATTAAAGTTAAGATGATGCCAGAATTCCTGAATGAATGGAAGTATGTGGTGATGCTTACACTTCTTTTCGTTAGGTGTTTTCTCCAAGTTCTTCTCGTTCACTTTCTGCTTCCTGTGACAGCGGATATGCGTGTGTGGTTGGAAGTTTTGGTTTCTATATTTTTTCTTTCGTTTTTTCTTTCCTTCTATATTTAGCAGTAACTAAAACTTTCACTTTCAAAATAACCAACCTTCTGTTGAATTTAATATCTCCTTTAAGGCAAGGACTAATTTCACACACACTCAGACATAGAGACACACAGCAGCAGCACTGGGGATTTTCAAATTGAATTTTTAATCGGTTTTCGTTAATGCTTTGTAAATTATTTTTCTGTATTTAATTTTTCTATTGCTTGATTTGAGTTGAAATTCTTGGAATATTTTGTTTTCAAATTTTTTTCTAGTATTTGGAATTTTATTTCAATTTTTTTTAAATTTTTTTTTAATATTTTTCAAATTTGTAATTGGTTTGATTATTTTTTGAACAGCATCTCACACTCACTACAACTACAACTGTTGTTTGAAAAATGTATTTGAATTTTGTTGTGGCTTTCTTTTGGGCGGTTTTTGCTTTTTACCGTACATTTGTATCCGTTAGCACGTGCAAACACGCTCAGATTTCATAACCAACTGTTATGGCGCAGGTATTGGCCAACAAATGCTGGCAATATTTCTGTGTATCTATGAGATGACGATGGCGATGACGACGAGACAAGACGAGGCGAGCGCACACATACCACCACTGGCACAGTAACAGAAATTGTTGTCGTTGTCGTCGTCGTGGACGTCGACGATTTTAACGTCCTGCTAGCATACTTACACACTCACCAAGAAACACACTAACATAAACAGACAAGAGGATTTCGAATGAAAATTAGCTCTCAAGGAATTTCCGTTTTTTCGAATTTAATGAACTTGAAAGCTTTTTTTCTTTGACTCAGTTGTCGTTAAATTCGTCAAACGACTATATGCTCCAGTTTCGAAAATCTCCCATTCTCCCTTTCGCTATTTTCAAATACACATCAAACGGCCAGTAAACATTGTTGCTTTATTAGAATCGCAGAGCCAAAATTTAAGAGAAAGAAAGAGAATAACTCCCCACCACACAAAGAGAAGCATTCTCTCATTCGAAAATCCTTTTAAATCTCTCATAGTTTTCCACAACTTGTTTGTAAGTTTTGTTGTTATTATTTTCTTGTGTTTTTTTTTTTTTGCTCCCTCATAACTTAGAATCGTTTTTGGCCATAAAACTTTTTTATATGGCACGTGGTTTAATCCATCAACTTTAACGCTGCCGTATATAATTTATATATTTGAAATACTTGTTGTTGTTGTTGTCGTCGTTGTTGCTGTTGTTATTGACACTGCTGTTGCGCTCACCTCCCAATCACCAACTACCATTCGTTTAGTCCCAGCCCAGGTGCGAAGCACTTCAACTAATACAAATGCATTTTATTTTCATGATCATTGCCAGAATACATCCATCAGAAACCGAATGTCTGGTGGATGCATTTGAATAGTTATCTGTGAGTGAGTGAGCGAATGAATGAATGAATGTACGAATGTAAGTGACAAAAACACTTGGGACTTGTGATGCACAAATAGAAAAAAAAACAGCAACAACAACAATAGCAACTAAGTGACAATTTGACATTATAAATGTATACAGTTGGGTGAATTTCGGCAACTAAGTACATTAAGGGAGGAGTATAATTTTATAAAATGGGAAGGTATATTACTCATTGGCAACCTTTGTAGCTACAACATTATGGCTATTAATTAAAATTACAACTCAAACCCTTAGGAATCAAATTGAAAAGTCCGGATATGTGCCCTTAGCATATGTCATTATATGATGTTCTTAAAAAATTGATTAATTTCGCAGGGGATATTAAAACCATTCGTTGAAAATACTCCTCAAAAATATTTTTAAGAAATCCACGATCTTTGTCGGGGAAGACCTTGTCAAATTCATTCATATATTTTCATGATCCCCATTGCAACTATTTTTATCTTTGATTCGCAGTAACCGGTGCGGGACATACATTGAAAAATATTTACAAAAATTATGAAATTTAGGTGCAGAACATACCCAGAAGAGAAAATCTCAAAAAATTTCGCACAACCAATCGTTTTAGCCATATTCATTATTACATGGATTATGTTGACAACTTTCTGGGGATTATGACCGAACCCTTATAATGGAATGAAGATTCGGTCCAAAAAAAAAAAAAAAAAAAAACTGTCATAAACCCCCAAAATAATGAGTACATCCACCGACTTTCCCTCTGGGCATGTCCGGCACCGGCTAACGTGAACCCAAGCTTACTACATCTAATATTTTTTATAAGTAGTTCCCTCGGCAAACGTTCATAATTCCCACATTATTATGGGGATTATGACCGAAGAAAAGGTCATTATTGGCCCATAATTGCAATTGTGATTATGACCGTGGCGATTACGTCCTGCGCCGGTTTTGGATTTTCCATTTTAAATAAAAGTCTACATGGGGGTGGAGGAAATATCAACCTAATCCGCCAAAGTTTAGGTGATGCCACAAACCTCGAAATATTGGTTATGGGCCCACGACTTAACTCATGTATCTCGCCGAGCTGGGTCGATTTACCTATGTGTGTCCGTCTGTCCATTTTTATTTATTTGTATTCAAGGCACAGGTCACAATTATGACGCAAACCTCACGAACTTTTGCGTGAGTCAGGGTTATGGGCAGAAGAAAAGCCTTTAGACCTTGAAATGGGCCAACGAGATATTTTTCTGTTCTTGTAGCCTCTCAGGTCATAGTTGTATACCAATTGGCGCCTAATTTTGCATGAGGTTAGTAATTAGAACAGCGAAGTAGCACACCTGTTGGGATCAACACTGCACAGCGAATGAAATGGGCCATACCTTTTGTATGAAATATCAATTTTCAAACGCAATAATTTACTTTGTTTAAATTTTGTGAATGAAGGATTGGTATTTTCCACTTTGGCATTACGTTTTTTTGTTTTGGAGTGAGTTGAACTAAAATTTGCCCTAAGGCTTCATGTCAGACTCATTCAAATTTATATACAATAAGTCGTTTTCACTTTTTTTCATATTTTTCCTCATTATACCCTACAACACTATGTGTTGGGGGTATTATAAGTTTGATTGGGCCAAAAATTAATTGGTTTCCCACATAGGAAAGTATATATGGATCTTCCTATCTTGCCGAGCTGAGTCGATCTAGCTATGTATGTCCGTCTGTCCATGTTAATTTGTAATCACTATGCAGGTCGCAATTATGGTCCGATCTTACGAAATTTAGAATGGAGGTGGGGCTAGAACCAGAATAGAAGCGTATTGGTTTTGGAGATGATCTCATAATATTTAGGGGTTAAAATGAACCAAAAACTTAAAAATTTCCTGCTTCCTAGCATGGGGCTAGAGCATAGGGCTGGGCAGAAGTCCTCTATTTTTATTGGTCATCCAATAGTATTTAGTGGGTGAAATTGACCATAACATTTTTGTTAAATAAAAGTCAAATTTTCCATTAAACCGCTAATATTTTTAATCCCCGCGAAATCACAAATAAGCGAGGAGGTCAATTCTGACCGTTACCTAAATACCGATAGTAAATATATCGGATATATATAGCGAAATATATAAAATGTATATATACAAAAGAAGGGGATGTTAGCTGGAATGCTTATATCACCAGAATGGCTGGACCGATTTTGGCAAGTCAAGTCAATTTAGAATGTCCTCTTGGCATAAAAGAATAAAATCTAAACAAAATCGCATAAGAAGATGCCAATAATGATGTTTATTTAGATTTTTTAGTATTTTGTGATATATTTTTAATTTTTCATATTTTTTATCGCATGCTATTTTTTCAATATGACTTGAATATTGAAGTGTATATTTTGTAATATTTTTTTGCCTTACAATACAGGTTGGGGTCATACAGATTGCAATTATCGTCCGATACTCACGAAGATTTTCACAAGGATAGGGTTAGGCTCAGAACGGCTAGGCCGATATTTAATGGACCAACGACTAAGAATATTTCCAATTTGGCAAGCGTTATGAAGGTCCCAAACAGAAACCAAAGGACACGATCTCGCATTAAGTTCGAGTTTAGAACAGCGGGTAGAATGGACCACTACTTTTGTGTGAAAAAATACCAACATTTCTTACAGGCGATGTCCGAAATACACAAAAGGCGATCTTCTTTTTGGATTAACAGAAAAAAATTCCTGATCACACAATGGAAGCCAATCGGACCCCTGAGAAGAGAGTTAAGGACTGGGAAGAATCCTGGCATTTAGAAAGACCACTGGATTATATTTAGCCTTAAAATGGACCACAACACCAAACGACGGAGTGCGTAAATATTGGGCAAATGTCCCTGATCAAATTGCTAAGAGTAATATCTGAGCAGTGCTCAGTGACATGATTTCAAAAGCGAAATCCTCCAAAATGGATGTCGGCATGAGGGGGCTTCCACCATATTATACTGTTGTAGGGTATCACATGGTCCGCCCCGCACGGCTATAGCCTTAGCTTACTTGTTTTCATACTAATTACGGCAAATGTTGTTAAGTTCAGAGGAAACCAGCATTGAAAAAAATTATCACGTTTTGGCCACTTTTTCTTTGAGCCTTATTTGTCATCTTTGCTTCTAAGCCTCTTCTCCTAAAATTTTCAATTTTCGGAGTGGGGTCCATCTTGGTCTTGACAATATTCATGAATTGATTTGGTTCAAAAATTTTATTTAGGCTATTCTGGGGTAGAGAACCAGTCCACCTCCCTAACCAATGTGTGGTTAGAAAAGAAAATGTCGTATTCTATTGAATATATAACCCCCAAGAGAATATGGTCTGGGAACGTAGATTCCGAAATGTCAAACTAGGACTCATTCAGTCGGAAAAAAAACAAGTAAAAAAGTATTGGTCGGTTTTTCCGACAGATGAATACCCTCAGCCAATGTTCGATTATTTTAAAATATTTTGACTTCTGTTATGTATTTTCAAACTATATTTTCCCTTCCTGTGCAGGAAATATTTTTTTTTTTTTTTTTTTTTGCAAATTTCGACCATTTGTGGGGGAGGTACCAGAAGGTCCGATTTTGCCAATATTAGCACCACACCTTGGGTTAATATAAATATTGGGATGTGTGAAATTTGAAGACAATCGGACTATTGCATCACATATTATGAGAGTTGTAATTATTCAAAATGTTGACTCTTTGTTGGGAGGTACTTGGTGGAGTGGACTGATATTGTCCATTTTCACACAGACGCAAATATTGAGATTTGCAAAGTTGGAGGAAAATCGAATTATCCTTTCTTTTTCTGGACAAAAAATTTATTTTTTTTAAATTTCGGCCTTTTGTGGGGGAGGTATCAGAAGGAGTCGACCCATATTGCCCATCTCCGAACTCGATCTAAGTTTGACAAAATGTTACGATGTTCCCAGTTTAAACCAAATCGGATACTCCCTTCGAGAGTTATCATGCGCACCAGCCAGCCAGCCAGACGGACGGACGGACTTCGCTACATTAACTCCAAATGTTCGAAAACGGATTTAGTCCAAAGAGACCTAGAGTCTATGGGGTCTCCAA